CATTGCTTTCCTGTTGGCTTTCTTTGCTCTCCATCTTTCACAACTGTACATCATGATGATTGGGAATACCAAAGTGTGGACGCTCTGAGTCTCTCCAGTGACACCTCCTTCCACTGGATGATTTTTTTCCTCCTCATTCCTTCCTGGCTGCAGTCTCCCTTTGAATGGATGACTGAACCAAGGGAGGCAGAATTGCTGACTGTACTGCAAATTTAGGGATATAAATATCCCTGCCTCTCCGTGTGGAATTGAGGAAAAACACTCTTTTCACCTCCCAGTAAGATTTCTTTCAGCAAGGGGTGTGCGTGTGTTTTTTCTCCCTAAGAAGCATCCTGGGGGAATTCAGATTTCAATCACACACACCCCCAGATATTTTGTCATTTTAAATCTGCACAGAATTATCACAATTCGTTTCCCAAAATGCGAGAGTTCCTGTACGATATACCCTGGAAAAAAAAGGTGAATTCTGAGCTGGGAAGACTTTGGAAGTTAGTTGCTTAGATTTCAATCACATGCACACACACACACCCAGATATTTTGTCATCATTTTTGATCTGCACAGAATTATCACAGTTTGTTTCCCCAAATGCCAGAGTTTCTGTACAATATACCCTGGGGGAAAAAAAAGGCGAATTCTGAGCTGGGAAAACTTTGGAAGTTGGTTGCATAAGAGAACGGCAAAAATAAATATACTCTCTCTCTCTCTTTTTATATATATATATTGACATGGGGGGGACTTGGAAAGCTGCAGAGGATGAGAAAAAAAATTTTTTTTAGCTTTTTCTACCTCCCTGTTCCCTGTTGCCTGTATCTTGAAGGAAATCTTTCAGAATTAATCGTGCATCAACCTCCCAGGAGCGACTTCCCTCACCTCCCAGATGTCTGTGGTACTGCTTTCTTCTATTTCGAAAACTTCCACACGAAATCCTTTTGAGGTCTCAGGTGTCGAACCCGAAAGCCTGCCTGAATCGTGTGTCTCCGACACGAACGTGCTGAGCTGGTCTCATTTTTCTGTTTTTTGGGGGGGGAAATATGGCGCACTTCGTCCCCGCTCTCTTCATCCAAAAGGAGCAGCTTAAAAATAATTCCACCCTGCCATGTCCTTAGGTAGGCATCAGGATCTGAGCTTTCTGCCCCCTCTCCTCCCTCCCTCTCGGTGCCGGCTGTCCTTGGCCAGGACTTTGTTTCACAGCCCGTCTGGACGCCCTTCCCGTCTGCAGCCATGGCTTGATCCGAAGGGTTGCTTTTTGAAAATATCACCGTCTGCTCTGCCGGTTTCATTGGCGGAAATCTGCCTAAGCTGGGGACCCACAGTTCTACCAAAGTTCTTGCAGGTCTGTGGATCCAGGTCTAACAGATGGACCTCGGTGTGTGTGTGTGATGATGTAGCACAAGTCCGGATCAAGCCCATCCACATGTAAAAATTGGGCCAAGGGTCCGAGGAAGAGAGGCGGTGGGCGGTGGAACAGACCCCATGACCTCAAAACTCACATCTTTAGATTGCTTTCAGCCTGGTCCAGCGTGAACTATTTCCTCGCCATCACAGGACATTTGGGAAATAGCTGTCCGACTCCGTCAAGGCAGCGTATTGGGATAAAAAGCATTCTCTCGGCTTTCCAGCAAACTTTTCTATTAAACAACGATGATCTTGGAACTGCAGAGCGGGAAAGGACCTTATGGAGCACTGAGTCCGGGGGGCACAGCGGGGATTCGAACCCCCAACCTCTAGCTCCACAGAGCTAAGTAAGTGCCTACACCAGGGAGCTATATTTACTCTTAGAACTTCAGGTCTGGAAGGGGCCCTAGAGATAATCAAGTCTGTCCCCTAACAAGGAGGCCTGGGGGGGATTTTTTTTTTTTTGTTAGTGCTGTAAATCCAAAATTAACTCCACAAAGAGTGTCTCCTCGATAAGGAAATCGCGGCCTATATGAAAAAGAGGGTGGTGTTGTGAACAGAATGACAGGCTTAGGACTCTGAAGGCCTGTGTTCGAATCCCCCCTCAGCCAGCAAAACTGGAGTGGAAGCGATAAAACAGCTCCTTAAATATCTCACTTATCTCGAAAGCCCTATTAGAGTTGCTATAAAAGCCAGTTCTGACTTGACGGCGCAAAAGCTAACGATAAGAAAAAGAGGAGACGACACACAATGTTCTGAATTGTATTTAGACTATGAGGAATAGAACACAGGATACGCACTGAGGTACATTCATTCATTTCTTCAGTATTATGGATATATAATTTCGTAACTAACCTACTTCTATCGGTCCGTCCAGGACAACAGCGCAGAAAAAGCTCGAACGGGCTGGCGTTCGCCCCCGCCCGCCCCGACAAAGTTGTGCGTTTTGCCACAAAGGGCGACATTGTGCTTGTACCACACGACTGGAAGAGAAAAGACTTGTGCAAGGTTAAATCGGATTCAATCGGAGAAACGGCGGGCGCGTACTGGAAGAGAGAAGGCCGCGTGGAGAGCCCAGCCTGTGTCGGGCAAGGCCTGGATCGGGGGGCCCCTCCCCGAGATGAAAATAAATTGGGGTGCGGCACAAGCTGGGCACCCTGGAGACCGAGGCCACCTTGACCACCCTGCTTTTGCCAAAAATCAGGATTCCCGGGAAGCCCGGTTAAGCCGACAATAGGCTCCCAGTTTGGTGAGGTGCAAAACGGAGGGCGGCCGTTCCCCATCTCCTAAAAGAGCAGGAATGCAGTGCCCAAAGAGGGCCAGAAGTGCAACGTTTGTCAGGGAAGGGCGCTCAGTCCCGCCGGTAAACACCCTCACGACAGCCTTAAAAGGTAGGCCATTGCGAGAGAAGAAAAGGGGATCTGTGCAGACGCAGGCGAGGGGCACGACAAGGCAACCAGGACAGGGGGAAAAGGTTCCCATTTGCACCCAGTGATCGGGACATTTTCTCGTTTAAATGGTGAAAAATGGCCGTGTGGGAGCGAAAAGCAACTCACAGGTCCTCTGCCTGCCCTTTAGGAGTGTCTGGGCAAACTTGGCCATCGCTGAAGGAGCCTTTTCTATTCTAGATGTTTTATTATTTTGTTGCTAAACGGCTGGTTTAGCGCTATGCACTCATGGTGCGGTATGCATTCTCTTTCACTCTCTCTGCCAAGAGATGAGGTGCTTTCAGCACCATGGACAGCGCTGGGAGGAGGCATTGGTTTCAAGTGTTAAAAGTCTATTGCTCTGCCTCTCCCACGGATCGCAGGAAGAAACATGGAAAAGATATATATATATATATATACATTCATTGTTTGCCCTCTACAGACTCGGACGTCCCCTCTCGGGGGTCCCAAAGTCAGTTTCAGGAGCCCCGTCAGGCAGACCCGGAGGCACATGGAAGCTGGGGTGTGGGGGTGCGTGGAAGCGAAAAGGACCGAGTCTTCTCGCACACCCCACACAAAAAGTACGGTTGTGCCCGGCGCTGTGTCTGCGCTAAACATTGGGAACCAGTTTCCAATTCTAGCAGCGAACTGTCAGGCCGAAATTTCAGGGTACCTAAGGAAGAGGGTCTTTCTGGAAGACGCTGAGGACTCGAGGCTCATCTTTTTAAAAAAGTGCTAATCATTGGACGAGCAGGGGATGGGGGACAGAACATAATTGATTTAAGTGACTCTGGTGGATTGGGCCCACATGAGCAAGGAGTCACTCTGGTCAACTCAGATCCTGTGTTCGGAAGCAGAACAAGTTGCTATCTGGATTAATTCCCTCCTGTAATCACTTGAATATTTCCCCCTGTCTTGAACTACGTTACTATTGTTGATTGTTATCTTATTACAGTATATTGTTTTTATTTATTTTTTATTGTTAGTTGCCTAGAGTGGACATCAGTCTAGACGGGCGGAGTATAAATAAATAAATATCTAGCCATTGTGAGGGGGATCCCAGGTCTTCCTTGCTCTCACACACAAAACCAACATTGTTGCCTAGAGTGGGCATCGGTCTAGACGGGCAGGGTATAAATAAATAAATATCTAGCCATCGTGAGGGGGATCCCAGGGTCCTCCTTGCTCTCACACACAAAACCAACATTGGAAAGGCAGTCTGGTGTAGTGGTTAGAGCAGTGGTTTTCTATTTTGGGTCCCCAGATTTTCTTGGATTATAACTCCCAGAAATTCTGGCCAGCATTTTGGGGGGGGGGACACCCAATTTGACTCCCCTGAAGAAAAGCAGGATCAGGGTTGGGCGCTCTTAGTCCCTTTGTTACTTTAAATGGGCTTTTAAACTGTATTTCGTGTTTTGTTTTTTTAACATGACCGTCGCTTTACCACCATAATTTATTGTGTCCTTTTCTCCCCCCTCTGGATCAGTCCTTTAAACATCTGTTGCAAAAGGCAGAAATACCTTGTTATTGTTTAGTCGTCAAATCGTGTCCGACTCTTCATGACCCCTTAAGCATGATTAAATAAATAACTGAGGAATCCATCCTGCCATCTCTGAGCCCTGGCGGAGAGCGGAAAAGAGAAAATGAGATTTTATGCAGAATATGAATTCGGCAGCTCCACAGGAAAAGGGATGAGGATGAATCTGGTTTTTTTAAAAATATACAGTAGGACCCTCATATCCACAGGATCAATATCCACAGATCCAGTTATCCACGGTCTGAAAATATTAAAGAAAGCAAATCCTAGAAATAGTGATTGATTTCTAAAGGGGAAGTGACCAGAATTGTCCAACACAGGGAGCCAGAGACCATGCTATGTATAAAAGTAAAGGTTCCCCTTGATCTTGTGTCCAGTCGTGTTCAGCTCTAGGGGCACGGTGCTCATCCCCGTCTCCAAGCATCCCGTCTCTGAGCCACAGAGCCAGCGTTTGTCCGAAGACCGTTTCCGTGGTCAGCGTGACTAGACACGGACCGCCGTGACCTTCCCACCGAGGTGGTACCTACTTATCTACTCGCATTTTGCATGCTTTCGAACAGCTAGGTTGGCAGGAGCTGGGACGAGCGACGGGAGCTCACTCCGTCGCGTGGATTCGATTTTATGACCGCTGGTCTTCTGACCTTGCAGCACAGAGGCTTCTGCGGTTTAACCCACAGCGCCACTACGTCCCTATGCTATGGATAGCGTTTGCTATTATAATAACATTCACTATTATCTACGTTTTTCAGCCTCCATGAGGTGGGGGCTTGTAATCAATCTCCCATGGACATGGGGGGTCCTGCTATATATTGCAAGTATAATAATGATTTTGGAAACTGTACCCGAGGGTCTTCACAGGACTCAACATCCCAAGGTGCCCTGGCAATGTATAGAGATTTGGATCTGGTTTGAAATGAATCGCGTAGAACGAAAGGAATCCGATTTGATTTAGGACCCACGCCTAAGAATCCGGAATCTCCCTGGTGGGTCCCAATCTGCTGAAAACTCGGAGCCATTTCCTTAAACATCCAATGTTCTCTCCCCAGAGGGCGAGCCTTGGGGCAGGTGGGGGGCAAGGGTGTCTCCATTTTTGGGTCCCCAGCCCTAAAAACAGCAGCTGTGCTTCTACATTCACCGTCGTCCTCAACCTCTGGACCCGTCACTGAGGCGTCCGAGTCCCTATTAAGTCAAGCAGAAATAAGCCAACCCCCAACGAAAGCAATGTTGAAAGGACAGGATAAAAACGAAGGCAGGAACAGATCTAACTCAAGGTCCTCTTTCTTCCGGGGGGGTCTCATAGATGATGATGACAGGGCACTAGAGGAAGACACACCAGATCTACAAGACACAAGTCCTCCTCTTTCTGTTGGTTCGGTTGTGTTGGGGAGCTAAGGTTTGGGGCCATGAGGATCATCAACACCCTCCATCGTTGGGTCCTCTCCGTTCTGCAGGTCTTGCCCGTCGTCCCCTGTAGGCCTCGCCAACACTTGGTTAGGGTCCGTCAAATAACTCAACGTCCAACTCCTGTCTTTCCTGTCCAAAGGATGGGGTGAACGTTGCACGAATCTCCTCCTCGGAGCCGCCCCCGTTGGGTGCCCTCTCTCGAACGGCCCTGATCCCAGCTTCTCCTCGCCATTGGCTTCGTCGTCCGGACCCTTCCATCCTGCTCTTGAGAGGTTGACTCCAACTCCGCGCAGGGAATGCCCAGTTCATGGAGGGGGGGAATCAATAAGGCGGCAGAAGAGACAGGAGAGCAAAACGAGGGGAAGGAGGAAGACGTGGAAACCCAGCAACGAAGACAGGAGGCCGGAGGTGACCGAGAGGGGGGAGGACTCCGTGGAAAGGCTCTCCCCCCTCCCCGGCCTCGGACGCCCAGACGGGTAGGTGGTCCATTCCTCTCCTCCGATCCCGTCGGCTTTAGCCGGCCACTGAGTCCCCCTGGCCAAGGAGGCTCTGGAAACTGACCAGCTGCTTCATCTGCTCGGTTTGCATTGAGTGCCTCCGGAGAAGCCGTTTGGCCTTCGGGGAAGCGGGGCCTAGTGGGAACAGGCCTTTCTGGGCCGGCGAGGAGGGCTTCCCGTTGGTGCGGAGGTCCCGGAGGGGCGGGTGGGGGTTGAAGTGAAGCGGAGGGAGGAAGCCCGGGCGGCTGTGGGCCAGGTGGTCCAGTAGCAGCGTCCCCGAACCTCTCCTCTCGAGGGGGCCCGGGGCCCGGCGTCGGATCGTGACAGGCGAGACAGCGTTGGGGATGCTCTCCAGGCTGTCCCGGGAGCTGCTGCTGACGGGAAGGGTCAGCGGGGAGGCGTTGTACTTCCTCCGCTCCGTGGAGACGCGGCCGGAATCCGGGGAGCCCGGCGTGGAGTCTGGAGAGACGCCCTCCGGGTCATGATGATCCAAGCAGTTGAGCTTGGGGTGAGCCAGGCCTCGTGGCAGCCCTTCGTGGGCCTCCGGAGCCGTGGGGCGGCGGGCCAGGACCTGGTGGAGGGGACCGGCGTGCACCTTCTCTGCCCAGGCGGTGTCCAGGCTCGATAGCGGCTCCTCCTCCGGCGCTGGGGGGCCCGTCGTCTTGAAGGCGGAGGGCTCTTGGCCTTCCATGCTGTGCCTCCGGGACAGCGGGACCCTCCGGGAGAGGCTCAGGCCATTCATCTCGGCCGCCACCCGGTCCTCCGGGGTGGCCGCGGCCAGGACAGACGGGGCCACCAGGCCCCACGGCTCCGAGTTCAGCCTCTTCAGCGGCTTGGGCCGGCCTTTGGTGGGGGGCAGGGACCCCGCCTCTTCTCTCCCCTTGGCGTGCGGGGTCGGGGAGCAGCTCGGCCGGGGGGCCAGATTAAAGTTGAAGACGTCGCGCTCCTCCTCCTTCTCGCTCCCTCCCGGCGACTGGGAGGTCCGGACCTCGATGTCCGAGGGGGACATGCACAGCGCCGGAGGGGGCTTCTCCTCCACGCCCGGCGAGGGGGGAGCATTCAGGTACTGCTTGGTCTTCTTGGTCCCCGAGGGGGACGTGCCCGTGGTGATGATGATGACCTCTTTGCCTTTGGCTTTGCAGGCGTCCAGAAGGACCTTCAAGGTCTCCCGGTCCCCCTTGTCGATGGCGTAGACCAGCGCCGAGGCGCCCGAGTAATCCCGGGCACTGGGGTCGGCCCCGTGGCTCAGCAGGACGGCCGCCACCTCGGCCCCCGCCCCGTCGGCGCAGGCGTGCATCAGGGCCGACTTCCCGGTCTTGTCCGGGATGTTGGGGTCGGCCCCGTTCTCCAGGAGGTACCGCACCATCCGGGATTTGTTCTGAGGGTCCTCGTAGGGGGCCATGCAGGCGGCGATGAGGGGGGTCTCCCCCTGGGCGTTGCCCTCGTTGATGTAGGCCCCCCCTTCCAGAAGCAGGCGGGTGAGCCGGAATTTGCCCTGCCAGACGGCCTTCAGGAGGGCGTTGCCTTCGGGGTGGACCATGGTGGCCGCTGGGGGGGGGTGCGAGCAGGGCGACCGAGTCACAAGCCAGGGGTGGGAGAGGATCCGAGCCGTTCAGAGCATGGTGGGATGACCTGGAGTTGGAAACAAACAAACACACAGAAGACACACCGGCGTTAGGACTTTTCAACTGGATCCCACAAGGACAAAGAGTCATGATGCAGGGTGTGTGTGTGTGTCTGATTCGGACCCTCCTATGATTCCCGTTCGGCCCCACCTCCTCAAACGTTGACCTCCCTCTCTCAAAACTTTGTTACCAGCAGTGAGGGCTTGAAAGTAGTACAGTAGGTCCCTCCGTATCCGTGGGATCGGTATCCGCTGATTCGTTTATCCACGGTCTGAAAATATCCTGTATCCGTGGGATCGGTATCCACTGATTCGTTTATCCACGATCTGAAAATATTAAAATAAAAATCATAGAGGTAGATATATATTTCTTAAGATGAACTTACCAGAAGCGGCCACTAGAGTGAGCCAGAGACCATGCTATGTATCACATTATTAAAAAGAGAACTTTGCCAGAATTCACGTTTTTCAGCAGCCATGGGTGGGGAAGGCTTGGAATCAATCCCCCACAGATGGGGGGGGGTCCAATTATATTTTTGTGCAAGCTTCACAATCCTTGGGGTGGATTGTGGCACATTAAAGACTAACTGCTATATTTTAATGTAAGCTTTTGTGGAACATTGTCCACTTTGTCAGACGTAAGAGTTAGAATACAGAGATTTTGGGGGGGCTGGGGTGGCTGTCAATCTATCCAGCACTAACCAATCATTGCTTCCCTGTTTCTGAATTCAAAGAGAGCCCCACCTCTCTGCTGAATGTCTCTTTCCCTCTCTTTGATTCTTTGGGAGCAGTTTGGTTTGCTGTTGATCTGTTTGGTTGGTTAAGTATACAGGCCGTAAAGAAAGCAGCGTGTGCAAGTCTGTCATTTCAAGTAACTGTAAGTAAAGAAATGTTTTTTATTCTTTCCCTTCCAAATGTCTCAACTACTGTGACTTGAAGGGCTGATTAATGAGAAAAGGGTAGACTCTCTGGGGAATGTGTAGCTATTCTCCTCTGTGCATCTCTGTATTTCTACTGTGTAGCAAAAAAACGGGAGAATTTCACCAGAAATTCAAAACTCTGCAATACTTTGCAAGCATTTCAGCTTCGTTGTGAGGGGCGCAGAGGACCTCTCCTCCTTTGTAAGGCTCTGTCAGTTATACAGGAGGACCCCAACATCAACGAGGGATTGGTTCCAACCCCCCCACGCCGGATGCTGAAAAATGTGGATTATAGTGGGCGCTATGTATCCTATGGATAACATGGTCTCTGGCTCCCTCTAAGGGCCATTTCCAGTAACTTCAACTTTAGAAATCTATTTCTAGGATGTTTCTTTTATTATTAGCAAAACTGTGGAGAAGTGAATCAGCGGATATGGATCCCGCGGATAAGGGGGTCCAAACTGTACTCCTCGTCAGTTTGCTCTCATGTGCTGCAAAGTTGCCTTTGGCCTGATCAGCTGTTCTTTGGACCCGTCCCGGCTTCTCTCAGAGACCCCCAGACGGGCAGAAGCCGTTCTCGCTCTTACGCAGGCCGAGTCCAAGGCATCTCAGGCATGGCTGGCGGGGTCTCCCGGGCGCTGCAGCCAGAAGCCGCCTCCTTTGACTCAGAATCCCATCTGGTGCCACCAGAACGGGAAAGGGTAATTAATTCAGTCTCGTGTTCTCAAGCCTGCCTTCTCGTTTCCTGGAGACGCTCGTGGTGGCTTTCGATAAAGGTCAGCCTCCTTTGACTGGATGAATCTTTCGAGCGACGATGTCTCTTGCGCAACCCGGGCCTCCGGGCACGAGGAGCACAAGAACCTCGCACGAGCAAAGCTCTCCCAGTAGTTTTATAACGATTTCACAATTCTTAAATGCATATACCAATTTTAAACACACACACCTGAGAGCCATTGACAAAACAAATAGCGAAGAGTTGACACTCCCTTTTCAGATCAGGGTGAGCACCTCTGGCTCTCCAGACAATGCTGCCTAGGGCTGATGGGACATGTAGTCCAATAACAGCTGCCGCCACCCCTGCCCGTTGCTTACTCCTGGTGTAAGAGGCACCACACACGGCTGGGAAGGGAATGTGAAGAGCATCACCATGCCGGATATGTGGCCCTGTCTTGCGTCTCACTCCCTTACTCACAAGGAGATCAGGAGGGATCAAGGGGGAGCGGAGATCCTCATCAGGATGGAGAGGCGAAGGAGGCCACCCCTGGGTGGCTCTGGCCACGGAGAAACTCCACTCCAACCCAGCGGACAAAGTGACTCCTGGACGGGAATTGAAATTCGGCCCATGGCTCATAAATCCCGCTTCAGAGGATGATCTGTGGTTAATTTGCAAAAGATGGACCGTCTCGGGTGCATAAATCTTGGGCACCTCGCCGCACGGCGCCAGGGCTTGACGGCTCGGATTACAGGGCTCCGAGGAGGAAGACGGCTGGGCTGGGCCCGTCCATCCATCTCTCTGGCCCAGGATTTGACCGTGTCCTGGGGGGGGGGAGTCGGTGGTTCTCCGGGGGGAGTATCGGATAACCCTAGAAAGCTGCTCTCAGCCTCCACACCTCACCAAACCTCCTTAATTCTCCTGGCCATGAATCAAAGGCTTTGTCTTAACGATGGGTATCAGAAGCTGCCTTCCAACTGAGTCTGACGATGGGGCCCTCTGGCCCAGGGCTGCCTGCTCTGACCGGCAGCAGCTCAACGTGAGAGAAGCCCCTTCCCTGCGGGGTGGCCCCTGGGAGGACCTTCGGGCTTCACCGCGGTGATACAGTCCTTCCTCTGGAGCACTGGACGTAACTTCATATGCCTGGCTCTGACTGGCAGCAGTGCCAGACTCTGCCGCAGATGCTGGGGACCGAATTATGGATGCAAGTATCGAAATGCACCTGTGCACACTTGTTGATTCGTGTCATCATCTTTGCATTCTATCTTTCCCATGAGCAGCATTAAGTGGCTCTTAGCTTTTTGAGTTTTTTTGCAACCTGGCAGGCTGCGTGTAGAAGCTGTGGCCGGGTGGGGCCCTTCCGGGCTGCGAGGGCTGTCAATCTAACCAGCGCTAACCAATCGTGTCTTTCCCTGCCTCTGAATTCAGAGAGAGCCCCCGCCTCTTTGCTTTGTGCTTCCCCACCCAGAGTCTGTTGTCGAAAGCCGTCCTGTTGGTCAGTTTGCTGTTGATCTGTAAGTAACGAAACAATTTTTTTTTTAAACAATTCTTTCTAATGTCTCAGAGTTATCGAGATGGTAAATGCCAGCTGAATGAGAAAAGGGGTAGACTACTCCAGGGAACTTGAAGCTATTCTGTTTTGTGAATCCAAGCACAAAACCAGCAATTCAAAACTCTGCAACGTTTTCCACTTTTGCTTCACCATGCCCCTTGCGAGGTAGGCCAGGTAGAGAGAAAAGCCTTTTTGGGGGGAGTCCTAGCATCTTGGGAGTTCCTTCCGCACCCCCTCTCACAACCCCAAGCCCCCCCCCACTCTAACCACTCCACCACCTTCTCCCTCACCTGCCCAAAAGGTTCTGAGTTTCCTCTGCCCTATTTTTTTTAAACGCCTTGACTCTTCCCCGTGGCAGCTGTTCTGAGCCACAACGTACTCTCAGCCGCACGTTTTTCAGCTTCACCCAATCCTTGGGTCCTTCTATGAACAGGCCTTTTTCTCATGAGGAGGCCTCCAGCAATGATATGGAAGTCTGCAATGGCAACAGCTGGCTGACACCCTGGCGATGGAGCTTTTACCGTCCACTCCTTTTCCTGCCAGGGCAGTTCCCACCTTGCCTTAAAAGTTGCAAAATTTGCCTTAAAATATATATATTTGAAATATATATTTCAGATATATATGAAATCCAGATGAGCTGATTTTAGGGAGGCTAGAGGAAGCTTACGGGCCTTTTTCCCTCCCAAGAACACACTATATAGGGTTGCATTTCAGAGACAGGCCAGGCAAAATCGCAACGGCAGCGACCGGCCTGCCTCCTGTTGCTCTCCTCTGATCCGTCTTTAGAGGCACTCGGATCGGATCGTATTCCTGAGAGCTCTGTGTCAAAACCTCGGCAAAATCCATCTCTCATGCTGTGGGTGTAATAAGCTGTACCGCTCCGTCTTGGGGATCCCTGGCGTGGTGCATCATTTCTCCTCGACCGGCGAGCCTTAACATTAACAAGGATTCGCTCTCGCTTCTTTCGGTTATGTTTTTTTTGGGGGGTCTTCCCTCTGCCAGGCGTTGCCCCAAAGCCACCCTGCTCGGCCGCGAGATGTATTTAAAAGGCTTTAAAAAATACGGAGAGCTAGCTCCAGAGTTTTTATGGGGTTTTTTGCATCAGCTCGGCTGCAAAATCAGCCCCCCCCCTTCCCGGTTTTCCTGGTGTGCTGTTATACTCTCTTTTCTCTCTCTCTCTCTCTCTCTCCTTCCCGGCTTCCCTGGTGTGCTGTTATATTCTCTTTTCTCACACTCACACACAGAGAGAGAGAGAGCAAAATGGGAGGGGGGATTAGACTTCTTTGTGCCAGTGTTGCAAAAAAAATAAAATAAGAAAGGAAAGCTTTGAACAAAATAGGAGGGGGGGATTAGAGTTCTTTGTGCTAGCGTTGCAAAAAAAAATAAAATAAAATAAGAAAGGAAAGCTTTGAAGATCAGAAGGCCCGGTTCCATACCTGTCATAGGTGTGCATCACCTGGATTTTGGAGAAGGGGGTTTTATAACTAGGAAGGGGCAGGTGGTACCTTTCTGGGGAGCTGCTCCCAGGATAATATATCCTTGGGTTCGAGAAAAGTTCCTGCCTTGAGCGGGGGGGGCTGGACTTGATGGCCTTACAGGCCCCGTCCAGCTCGACAGCTCTAGGGTTCGGTGATGCCCACCGAGGCAAAAGGCTCTTGCTTCGCGGTGTGCTTTTCCCATGGCGGGGCTGGGCGTTAATTTCCATCTGGAATGCTAAGCCCGGTTTGGGAGCAGGCTTTCAAAAATAATGATTAAAAGGAGGGTGGGGTTCGGGGGGGGCGTCTTTGCCTCCACTTGGATTACATAACTGTGCGAAAGGGAGCA